CAACATTTAAAATACTAAAATTCAATTTTGGAAACCTCGATGAAATGTTTATCATAAATCAAGATGAACGTCTCAGAGGTCATCAGTATAAACTAAAGAAAGAAAATTTTTCTACAAGATCAAGACAGAACTTTCTTCCAAATAGAGTTTTGAGTGCTGGAATACCTTACGATAACATTGTCTCCGCTCCCTCTACCAACTCGTTCAAAAACAGACTTGACCGTTTTATATTATAGTTAAAATATTGTTTTTCTTTTAAACCATAAAATTGTAATTTTATTTCTTTTATTTGTAATTTTGTTATTTACTAGTAGGTTATTAATGAAATTTCTTTGTTTTTGGGCATAATGGGGACTTAGTTCCTCTGCCCTCTCTTATGTTATAATAATAATAATAATCTTCTACCGATGGAGATATAGAAGACCCAAACAGCAACTGCTTGGCAATGATTCACAAGAGATAGCATCTAAGTAGGTAGTTCTGCAAGACTTGACTGAATCACCATCAGCCAATCCTCATCCCAAATCCCCTAAAATAACAAAAAACAAAAAAAGTCACAGTTTACAAAAAAAAAAAATAAATAAATAAATAAAAATCTAACACAAAAATGCCAATATATGGAATATATATAATAATTCCTATGAATTTTAAAAAATAGCTTTATTTTTGTTCTTATTGTTACACATCGTTTACACACTTAAGCTATTTTTCTACATAATTACTGATTGCGGAGCCTATCCTAACACTTTTGCAGACGCCACTCCAACTTTTCTTTCCCCATTTTATAGAATTCTACAGCAGTTGCTTTGCAGAATCGAGTAACCTCTTTCTTTTGATTTCATTATCGGTACTGAAGCATAAGCCTCATAAGTGTTCCTTTAATTTTGGGAAAAAGTGATAATTACTTGGTGCTAGGTCATATACTATATTATTTATCTATGGCTTGGTCCGTTCTGTAGGGGGGTGGGGCACAACAGTCCAACCAAAATCTCTCAGCAGTTGTTCGGTTTGATGTGAGACATGAGGTTGGGCGTTCTCAAGGAGAAACCTCACACCACTGGACGGTTCTTGATCGCATGTCTCACTCTTTTTATCACAATATCTGTCGGAGTTAACTGTTGTTTCATGAGACAAAAAGTCGATTAACAGTAGGCCCCTTCCTGTCCCAAAACACGGTTGCCATGGCTTTCCTAGCAAACTGAATTTGTTCACGTGATTGCTGTTTGGTTTCGGGAGTAAAGTGAAACACCCATGTTTTTGTTGCCTGTGTTACGTAAAAATTAGTCATATTAAAAAAACCTGTAAACATGTTGTTTATTCAATAATATGTTGTAGATTCTACGAGACCCTTCGACTAGCTAGCGGAGATTCCAAGAACCGGTCTGTTCGAACGGTCCGGAAATACGGTAAATGAAAAAAACCAGCCGAAGCCTTCCAGTAGTTTCGACAAGGATCGATATCCTTCTAGTCTGGTCAGAGGGAATCGCCTGAACTCTCGAATAGCTGTATTTGGATATAAATAACAGGATTTTTATTGTAGCCAGCAGTCAAAAGAAGATATCGCGATCGGTTAAAATTATATCGCAAGTAGATAAATTATATAATATTAAGTGTAAAATAAATTAGTAGTAATAAAGACTTTGATAAATTTGTGAGTGTTATAAATATTGAACCTTTAGTAAATTAAAATAAAAACAATAAATTAGAATTATTAAAGACTTTACACGAAGCGTTTATTTGAAAAACAACACATGTCCATTTTTTGCAAATTTGACTTTATATGTTGTTTGCATAGAATATTAGTTTCTTTATCGATCTCATACACTCAGTTGTGTAAAAATCCCAGATGTCCGGAGTAAACTACATAGAAAATTCGGATCGTTTTAGAAAAACAACAGATGTCCATGCGGTTTGTTATAAAAGCAACACTTGTCCCTTCTTTCTCAACGGTCATCGCTAAGCGTGAATGATCTTGTCTATAAATAATTTATCAGTTGTGTGCTTTCTTTGAACAGGTGATGTTTGTTTCTTATTAGCAGCATGGCGGAAACTACTGTTCAACACAATATATCTAATATTATAGATGATAGTATTTGTGAAATTCGAACTACAGATCAACCACGAAAACGGAAAAGAAAAGTTTATCGAAGGGAAACCATAAAGCAAGCTAAAATACATGGAGTTGCTCACAAAACGCATAAAGGTGATAAGGATGTTTTAGCACGAACAACAGGAAATGACTGTATGTAAGTTTTTCGATAATAACAAGTTGTTTTCTCAATGCTTATAACTTCAATCTTGGTTGTAGGTGTAAACGTTACCGATGCTTCTATGTAATAACACAGGAACAACGTTCTGACTTACTGAATATGTTTAATAATATGAACACCAAAGATGAACAGGATTCATATTTATCAAGCCTCATTAGTGTTACTCCTGTCCAGAGACGACGCAGTCGTATTCCACAAGCCGCTTTACCTAACCACAGTACTACTAGTGATAGTAGAAATGAAGACACAAACAAAGTTCGACATCAACAGGGTCCACCACATGTAGCTTCTTTTATGTATAAAATTCGACTACCAGGAAAAGACGTAAGTATTTGTGCCAAAGCTCTTCGTAGTATTTTCGGTGTTACTGAAATGCAGATCCGTCGAATTAGAAATAGCTTAGCAATGAGTGGATGTTCTCCAAAAGATGCCCGGGGCAAGCATACAAATAGGCCTAAGAAGACACACCCTGCTGATATAGAAAACATAATAGCTCACATTTCTTCATTCAAAGGCCGCCAAAGTCATTATACACGGAGACTGGACAAAAAGAAAATTTATCTACCATCAGAGTTAAATGTAAAAAATATGTACAGAGCATTTAAAGAACTTCACCCACAGTCCAAGGTTTCTTACTTTGTTTATTATAACATATTTCAAACCCGATTTAACATATCTTTTTCCTACCCCAGATGTGACACTTGTACATTATGTGATGAAACTGAAACCCAACTCAAACTACCGAATATCGATGAATCAAGAAGAAAGGAACTGCTTCAAGTGAGAAACCTTCATCACGCTAAAGCAAAGGCATTTTATGATATAAAACGAAAAATTAAACATAAATGTCAGCATCGTAATAATGTATCTGCAATAGCCTTTGACTTTATGCAAAATCTTCCACTACCCAATTTGACTACAAATAAGGTTTTCTATAGCAGACAACTTTGGTACTATGTATTTGGTGTACACGACATTGGAGGCAATGATGTCCATATGTATACCTATCACGAAGGAATGGCTAAACGTGGTCAAAATGAAGTAACTTCCATGATATTTCATTATCTAAAAGATCATATACTCGCTAAAATGGATGAAATATGGTTTTTCTCTGATGGTTGCCCGGGTCAGAACAAAAACTATATCTTTATCCGCTTTTCATATATCCTGGTGCACGTATTGAAATTAGCATCAGAGATAACACACGTATACCCAATACGAGGACATTCATACCTACCGTGCGATAGTGACTTTAGTCTCATTTCTCGTGCAAAAAAAGTAGTTGTTGATGTTCCAGAAGAATGGGATGATCTTATTCGGCAGTCAAGGTCTAAACCTTCTCCATTTAAAGTGGTTAATGCTGGGAAAGAAACTGACTGGTTTCTTATGGACGAAAGTTTTAAGGATTTATTTTTAAAGAATCCAAAACCAAAAATTTCATTGAAACCAGCAAGAATGTACCGAATATCTGAGAAGTATCCTGGACAAGTTTTAATACGTCAAACTTATCACGGCCCATGGACGTTCCACACCATTACTGAAAAAACAACACCAAAACAAATAACTCTGATACCAAATAACGCGAAAAAGAAAATAAGTCAACCAAAGTTTCGCGATCTAATGGAGTTAACTAAATATCTCAAGAACCCTCTTAATAAAGAATTTTATCTTAATCTAGAACCAGAATCAGGGGAAACCGAGGACAATACTCCAGTCGTAGAACTATTTAGTGATGATAATAGCAGTGGTAGCGAATAGACATCATAGAATTTTTTGTTATTTCTACGAGGATATTATATATTGTTCATTTTCCAATATATTTTGCTAAGTTTCTACCGATTTTTGTTTAAAATATCAATAAAATTATGAAATCAACTTGTACAATTATTTTGATAGCCACATTCCTTCCAATGAATATCTTAGTAAAGGTAAGATTTGAAATAAATTGAAGCTAGGCAGTTTTTCTTGATTTGCCAAAATTTTAATTTTTGGACAAGTGTTGTTTTTCAAATAAACGCTTCAGTAAGAATTAAAGCACAAATGCTTCCTTGTTGTTGTCACATTGCTGCAACAATTGCTGGTCATACTCGATACGATGCTGTTTGTGATTTTTTGTAAGCAGTCGTGGTACCCACCGCTCATACACTTTGTTAGTCTAATTTTTTTGTTATCTCATGAATTGTGGTGTGTAATTGTCAGGAACACCCAAAGCACGGCCATTAATGGCGAATCTCTGATCTTCAAGCAATATTTTTTCGACAATTTTATCTGAAACTGAAGGCTTTCCGCTTCGATCTTCACCACAGTGATCTTCATCATGATTTTCCGTTCGACCTTTGATTGTTGAACAGATATGCACTTTTTCCCATAAACTTCGATTTACTGACGATGAATGTCAGTAGGTGAAATCTGTAAATCCGTTTTGCATTAAAAAAACGTATCAAAGCTTGAATTTTGTATCTTGCGGTAAAAGCGGCTGGGAGCTTCATCTGCAAAGACTGTTAGGCCGGCAGTAACGCACTGAGCAATGCATCGAGGCGATAGTGATGGTATGAGAGAGAGAGGAAGAGTTGATGCATAAGACAGTTTTGCCAGATTTCTCCCAGCACGTCGCATTTTTTCTCATCGGCATAGGGAACCTTTTTTACGAATGAGCCTCGTAACACAAATAGATAGAAATACAAACTCTTCGTTTATATACCAAAAAAATTGTACCAACTTATAGCTCTTGGGATACTAGAAAAAAAAACTATTATCGTTTATTAAATTCAAACAAAAACTTATTAATAAAAAACTGTACAAGTAAATATTTATAATTTATTATAACTTAAAAGCTGAAGACTACAGATGCTCAGGCGTACATTTCATCTATAACAGGTTTGTAGTATTGTTCGATAGCTTTCCTCTTCAGCTTCAGCGTCGCTGTTACTAATCCAGTATCTGGCGTCCATGTTTCTTTTACCAGTTTTATCTTTTCTGGAATTTCGAACTTCTCCAATTTGGCTGTAAATAATTATATGTTATATAAACGTCATTATGTAAAGTCAATTTTAATAATAAATACATAGGATGGTCCATTTCAGATTTGTTGAGATTGTCATTATTAGTTATCACTTTAGACTAATAAATAAAATGGTAGGTGCTAAAGTTGTTTTAGAGGTTTAAGTTATCTATTAGCAAAAAGTTCGAAACATTTTAATTTATATTAAGATACAAGCTGCTTGAGTAGGAAATTGTTAGGAGACTTTTGTTGTCTTTACCAACTCAAACGCAGAGTGTTCTTTAAACCCTTAACGTACGTCGTGGAGTCCCTCGGTCTCCGCAGTTCAAACAACGCTTTATATTTTCTCCAACTATTGATCCAAACGAGTGGTGTTGTACCTTGGTGTCGCACAGTACCTTCGGGTAGTAGGGAGATGTTCATGCGAAATCGCGATTAATAATCGCGATAAATTAAAAAAAAGTGTGCATCCAGATGATGCTAATTTTGAAGAAATTGTTGGGCGATGGTACGAAGAGGCCGATAGTGATTTTTCCGACCAAGATGGTGACGACACGCCAAACAGTAAACACTTAGAACCAATTTTGAGTGACCATAGTTCTGAGAGCGAATTTTATGCTAGCGATACTAACGATGGTCAATCGGACGAAAGTCAGAAGTCTGATGAAGATTCAATGGAAGTTGATCTAAACAGATACTTTTATAGAAAAAATAGGTACAAATGGGCATCAGGTGAACCTACTCGTAAAGTTAGAACACCTGCTTCTAATTTGTGAAATCGAAGAACCAGAACCATATTTTTTAGAATAATCGATATGAGTGCATTAAGTGCATATATTATTCACCAGGCTTGTGCCAACAGAACAAAATATACAAGATTAGAGTTTCTGAAGATTTTGGCACAGCAACTATATAAACCACTTCTTCGAGAACGAGAAATTAACCAACGTCTTCCAAGAGAACTAAGACTCAGCATTCAAAAGGTGCTAAGAATAAATCCAACCGAAAATGACGATCATACAGATACCTTACCCAGGAACGCTAGGAAGTACTGCTATTTATGTAACCCAAAATTGAAAAGGAAGACAAGTTTTCTGTGTATACAGTGTAAACAACCGATCTGTTTGCAATGTAGCAAAAAAATGTGTAGTGAATGTGTAAATAAGCGTGAAGAAATGTGATCAACTGGCCAATTTTCAGGACTTAGAAGACTAGAATAACTTTTTGTATGAAAAATATTATTTTAGTATTCAATATAGTTTTAAAAACGTGTTTTGAAAAAAAATGTTTATATAAAATAATTTGTTTTTTTATCGACGCAAACGCTGATAGCAGATTTTTCGGTTCATTCAATTTTTATTTTCCTATAAGTTGGTATTATTTTGTATTGTTTAACTTTTTATAATAAATATGCTTTTTTAAATGTCTTTTTAACTTTCAATAACTCTAACATAACATTCAGAACACAAATTGTCAGTTTGACAACATGGAGTCCCAGGGACTCTACCACGTCGTTTGTGTAAAATTAATTCACCACGTTGGTTAAGGGTTAAATAACTCAAAGGGTTAGCAATATGTCTTGTTCTCAATTTCAGCTCTAGGTCAACACCATCTTCATAATGGTCAGTGACTAAAATGGTTTTAAAAACTCCAGAACCATAGCTCTCATCCGCGTCTATAAACCAAGAATTATCTAAGAAGCTATAGAAATTGAAAAAAGTCCAAATTATCTCAATAAAAGAGATGACGGCATACGGTTACCTTCGACATGGAGACCTCTCATAAAGAAAATATCGTCTGCTCCACAATCCAATCAAAATCCCGCCGTCAAGAATCTTTGTGCCAAACCCCACCCAAATCATGTCATCATCGACGTTATAAATAAACCCTACGCTGTTCTCAGTAGCAGTAGCGCAATGATTAGAGAACAGTGTAGTAATGTCTGGGGGCTCAGGAGACTGAGACCCCAGAAGCATTGAAGAAGACGTCAGAGAGGATGTCGAAAGCTCGGCGCATTTATAGTTGACGCAGTTTAACCCTGAAGCCTGGTGAGTTTAATATTAATTTTATAATAATATTTTTTAATTTTAGGTTTATTTAAATTTATTAAGTAAATAATGAAAAAAAGGGAGAATTGAGTACATTGATTCTCCAACACTGCTAAGGAACCATGTGTTTATATTTAGAGCTACAATTAATTACTGTTAAATTGGGAATAAGCCACAATTAAAAATAAAAATACGTTTATTGACGTTTCAATTTCCACTTCGGAAATCGTTCTCAAAATACAAACAGTAAATTAAACAAATTTTGTTTTTTGTTACATAGTGAAAAATTCTTCTAATAATTTAATTTTATCTGACTCATTTATATTGACAATTCAGACATACATTATGCATTTTAAAGTAGACGACTTTAAAATGATATTGCCAATATTGTTGATTTGCGCTCCTGGGACGACTTTACTTATAAGATAGTTCATTCGATTACATGAAATCAACTTTAACTTGAGAATATCCGTCAGAAAAAAATCATAGCATGTAATTCGTCTTTAAAAAGACAAACACATGACATGATGACAGTAAAATTCTCCTGTTAGTGATTCCATAGTAAATTATGAGGGAAAAACCAGGAAAAAAACCTCATAATACTATCCCGACATGGTAAGTATTTGTTCGTGCATTTAGTTTACCTTCAATAAACACCAAAATTCTGATTTTATATGTTTCGTTATTTAAAAAACATAAATGATGTATCCTCTATATGTTACTGACTTACTAATACTGGTATTTTCTTATTAATAACTTCCTCTTTCAATATTGGTAACCAGATCCTACTACATTCTGCCGAGGAATTTGCGACACAATTGGCCTCATTTAGCATAATTAGAGCCGCTTCTTTGATTTTTCTTTTTTTACTATCCGTTTCTTTTAGGACTACATTTGAATTATTCCATTGAACCCTATGTTCATTATCCCATGCGTGTTTACAGATTTGAGATCTATCAAATTCTCTATTTTTAATATAAGATTGATGTTCACTTATTCTAACATTTAATGGCCTTGACGATTCACCTAAATAAAACTGATCGCATTCCCAAGGTATTTTATAAATGCAATTCTTTGTCCTTTCTTGTTCATTGTTAGGTTTGGTTTTGGACAAAATAGATCTCAACGTGTTTGTTGTTTTGAATGTTGTTGAAATGTTGAATTTATTTATTTATAAAAAGGATAGGAAATAAATTCAACATTTACAATGCCACAAGAAAATAGCTTCAGAACAATATTAGAGCTACAAGTTTTTAAAAACAAATAAATACATTTAAAACGTACCTTTCTTTCCGTGATCTTTGATTTCCAAGCACACATCTTTGGTGATATTTTTATCTTCGCACAATTCCTCGAACGTTTTGTCTACTTGGAACTTGGCAGAAGCCAAAGTTTTTAATTTCTCTTGATTGGCTACGATTAAAGCTATACAGTAGGTTTTTGTGGGGTTTGCGTACACGCATATATTATCGATAAGGGGACAGGTGGATAGTTGAGATTCTATTTTACCTAGGGAAACGTATTCGCCTGCTTGTAATTTTACTAAGTCTTTCTTGCGATCTGGAATAGAAAAACGGATTTAGAATATGATTTTCTTTTAATGTTCACCTAAGAGCCCTGACAACTATATAATGGGACACATTATATTCAGGCGTTTCACTGTTGATTTCTTATTTTTTTAATAGTTATTATAATAATGGTAAATAAGCAATATCATTAATTATATGTAATCACAAAACGTAATTAAATTTACTTTATACAACCCACATAATCTATTAATGCCATAAGCATAATCAAAATATACTTAAACGGAAAAATATGCTTAAACGGAGAAGAAGTTCCAAAAGAATGGAGACAATCGTATATCTCTCCAATATACAAGAAAAACACAAAGACGGAACCTAAAAACTATAGAGGGATCGCAGTGATTGCTACTATAGGCCGACTATACTCAAAAGTACTACGAAACCTGATAGAAAATGATATTAAAGACAAAGAACCCGAAGAACAAGCGGGATTTAGGGCCGACGCTCCTTTATGGATAATATTTTCACATTAAAAATTGCAATGGAAAAACGAGTGCAGAGAAATAAAGAAACCCATATAGCTTTAATAGATTTGGAAAAAGCATATGACAGTGTACCGATCTCCCAACTATGGATAGAAATGGGTAATTTGAAAATAAACCCAATTCTTATTAACGCCACTCAAAAATACTACAAACAAAACTTTGCAAGAATTAAAATGGGACAAGAAATCACCTCTCCTTTTCAAACAACAAAGGGACTAAGAAGGCTGCTGTCTATCACCTACCTTATTTAATATCTATTTGGACAGATCCTTAGTGAAGTGGGTAAAAAAATGTAGAAACATGGGAATAACGGTGGAAGAAAACACGCTATATACACTTTTTTTTGTGGATGACCAGGTAGTAATTGCCGAAGATAGCTACGATCTTAGCTATATAGTAAGAAAACTGCAAGAAGAATACAGATGAAATATGCGACCTAGTCTTGGAAGACGACAAAATCAAAGGCGTACAATCCTGCAAATATTTGAGGGTCATTTTCAACAAAAAGGGAAATAGCGCAGATGAAATCGGGGAAAGAATAAACAAGGGCAAAGCAGCGACCCGTGGCTTAAACCGTCTTCTCTGGCAAAAAACAATTCGACAAGAAACCAAAAACACATATACGGTATTACAGTCCAAAGCAGTGGTTCTCAACCTTTTTGTGGCGACGGAACACTTTTAATTACCGAAAAAAATTGCGGAACACCAAAGCAATAACATGCATATATTGATAAACAAATTAGGATTAGCACATAAATTCTGTAATAAACTTTATTATACGTACTCAAATTTGTAAAATTTTACTTAAAATATGAAAACAAAAAACATTTTTAAAATTAACAAAAGCGTAATTCTCAAAATACATCATATGAGTAAATACTTCAAATTAGTGAGACACTTGTGCCTGGTGTCGTTTGCAAATTTGCTCAATATCAGGCCTGATGTGGGAAAGAGCTACTCTCATTTCTTGTTCTAAGTTTTGCAGCCTTTCCCGTTTCTTATTTTTAATGTTTGTTAAAGATGAGAACCCAAATTCACATAAATAGGACGTTGAAAACTGTATTAAAATACTAATCGCTTTTTTGGCAAGAAGTGGATATTCCTCTTGGACCAAGATCCAAAATTCCTGAACATTCACTTCTGAAAACTTAATTTTCAGAGTACGATCAGATGACAACGAAATAAATTCTTCTTCTTGGTTCAGAGAAAACTGGAAATTGGCTGTATTACTTGTGCTAAAAGGACTTCTTATCCAGTCATATTTTTCTACGTTCAGAGATGGAAAATACCTGGCAATTGTCTCCTCTAATAGTGATAAGTGTTCTGTAACTATATGCGTGATTTCTTGTTCTTTATCTTCATCACCTTCATTCTGAAGCAGTTGAAATATATCCATTTTATTTGTCTCTAAAATGCGCTTCTTCCAAAATGACAATTTTTTTCACTTGCCACTTTAGTGCACCATGCATCATTTTCAAAATATGTGGTAAATGTGTCATTACCTTCTTCTTGGAAAAAAGTTAACAGCTCCGTTCTAAGTTCATAAATTCGACATAATACTTTGCCCCTTGACAACCATCTAACTTCGGTGTGCAGCAACAAACATTCATACTTTGATTCCATTGAGATGCAGAGTTGTTTAAAAAGACGGGTTTTTAGTGGTCTTGATTTGATGTAATTCACGACATTAACCACTTGGTCTAATACAGATTTCAAAGTAGCTGGTAGCGTTTTTGAAATTAGAGATTCTCTATGCAAGAAACAGTGCGTAGATATGATATTTTCATTTCGCTTTTTTGCAAGGGTACAAAAACTTTTTATGGAGCCTACCATGGAAGGGACACCATCCGTACAAATACATCCTGACCTGTTGTACGTGCTGTAAGTTCTCTGCAGCATAAAAACTGATTGACTATTTCACCTTCGTCGACAAATCGAATAAATCCTAATAAATGAGCTTTGCCACTAATATCAGTGGATTCGTCCACCTGCAATGCGAAGTTTTTTTTGTAAAGTTTATTTGTAACTTTTTCCTCAATATCTGCAGATAAATCAACAATCCTCCTTCTTATTGTATCATCCGACATAGGAATTTTCCGTATTTCGTTTTGTGCATCGTTGCCAAACATAATTTTGACCATCTCACAACATGCTGGTAATATAAGAGATTCTGCAACAGTGTGTGGTTTCTGTTTCAAAGCAATTAATTCGGCGACCTTATATGAAGCTATTTGTGCTTTGTCGGAAATTGTTAGCGACCTTTCAAATTGTTTCGCTTGTTTAGCTTGTGTCTCCAAAAGTCGCTTGAAATAATCTTTATTTTTTGAAGCTACACTAGCGTGTTTGGTAGTAAAATGGCGTTTTAATTTAGCCGGAGCCATTGCGCTATTAGCGAGTGTCTGCCCACAAACAATACACTTGGGAATTGGACAGTCTTCTTCCCCAGTCCAAATGAAGCCATAATCCAAATATTCATCCAAATATTGCCGGTTCAACATTTTTTTTGCTGCGCTTCGATTTGTCATCAACCCCACTTCGTAAAGTTCCAGTATCTCCGCTGGTGCTCGCTTCATCATCATTAATTATGAGTTGTTCCACAGTTGTTTTTCGTTTAAGTTTGAGGAACTTATCCATTTTAATTTATTCGTCTCTAAACAAAATAATGCGGATGAATGCTTCACATTTTGTATAAAATATGCAATTACTTACCTTTGATAGATAAGCCGTACGTAAACGTTATCATAAAAAAACTGACACAGCGATTTTCACGTATTACGTTTGTGCAATGTAACAAATTCAACATTCAGTTGCAGACTGTGGCGTGGGTGACTCAGATTGGCTGTGGCCACTGCGGAGCTCAGCGCTCAGCGCTTATAAAATCCAACGTGTGCACTGTGCCGACGCGGTGTTGTCACGTTGGGCAAATGAACATTTACGCTGCAGAATTTTATTAAATTAAAATGTACGTAAGTGGCTATTTTAAAATTTGAAAATATTTATTTGAAAAGAGTAATTTAGCAAAATGGTATGTAGGATTGCGAGTATTTCGCGGAACACTTGGAAGGAATTCGCGGAACACTAGTGTTCCGCGGAACACCGGTTGAGAACCACTGGTCCAAAGTATTACACTTTATGGATCGGAAATATGGGACGTCACCAAAGTTAATAGAAACAAACTGATGATGACAGAAATGGATTATCTGAGACGAAGCTGCCGTAGATCAAAACTGGAGAGAGTTAGAAACGAACAAACAAGAAACGAAATGAAAATGTAGCGAAATATCAATGATTACATAGAAAGAAAACAATTAATCTGGTTGGGACATGTTAAAAAAATGCCAGAATACAGATGGCCTATAATAGAAGAGTACTGGAATGGATATCTTCTGAAAGAAGAAAGAGAGGACGATTACGGAGAAGTTGGCGCAACGATATTGATGAAGCAATGGCGGCAAGAGACTTAGAAGAGGCAACTGCATATGACAGAAAAAGATGAAAATTGGGAGCGGAGAAGCGGCAACAGCCGTAATCAATTTTTTATTATATATATAATCAAAATATGTAAAAGTTAGTGACAACTAAATAATGGGACACATAAAGTAACTGCTAAAAGACAATTAGACTAAAAGGAGACTTTTGCAGTCGACAATTTAGGGATGTGTGTTGGAAAAAGTCTGCTTATAGAATACTAAACGATAAGTTAACAAAAATAAACAAAAATTTTTATTTTAACACAAATTCCTGATTACAATCTCTTTATGTTCTTCATGTTGACATTGACACTCGTGTCACTCACAGATGGTGCCAACACTTAACACATAACAATATTCAATATAAAATTGTAATACCAACAGACAATTTTTTTAGACAAAATAATAAAACTAGAAGGATTCTAGAACGTTTAAATGTAGGAAGAAGAATTGTTCTATCAGATACAGTCTTGAAAATAATGTAAACTTAATTGGCAAAAATAAATTACATACCTATAATTTTCATAGATCCATCTTTCTCAATTTCGCCAATATCTCCCGTTTTGAACCACCTAACACCGTTTTCATCGAAAAACTCTTCGTGAGTTTTTTCTTCGTTTTTATAATATCCTATACTAACAATATCGCCTCCTACAATAATTTCTCCCCTTGGATTTGGTTTGTCTGTGATGTAGTAGCGCCCTTCGTTCCAGTTCGTCAGTCTTACGAGCGCTGTCGTCATAGGAGGGCCAACTCTTCCAAACCTCATGTCGTAATCTGAAAGGTCTATGTATTAGTTACTCTTATAAGCATTAAAAACAAACTATTCCAGGAAAACTAAGATCATTTACGAACAATTACATTTAGTTACATTTAGTGCAAGATCTATGTTGATATCAACATACTTTGTTGCTAATTTAGTTTCCTTTCGTAATTAATCAACATTTCGCTGACAAAACTGTCCACTATAGAACAATATACTTATTTTTTTGGAACAATCAACAATACACAATAAACGCCGTTGGAGTGTAAATGCATAGTAGGCGATTATGATGTCTAAACGTCGCGATAATTATAATCAAAAGAGACACCCTCTTTATAAAAGGTTACCTATTAATTAGAAAGAATTATTTTGTTTTTTACGAGGCAAATTATCTCTAATTTTTCATGCATTTCTACCTATCTAATTAGCCTTCTTCGGTCCATCTTTGGACATAGGCCTCCCCAATCCTTTTCCATTCTTCAGTGTCTGTCGCTACAGTCATCCACCTAGAGCCCACGTGCTTCTTGATATCATCTGCCCATCTCATTTGGGGCCTTCCTCTGCTTCGATTATATTCCCACGGTCTCCAACTTATAAGAATTTTGTTCCATCGGTCTTATTTTTGTCTTATATTGTGTCCGGCAAATCTCCATTTCAATTTTGCAACTTCTTGTCTAACATCCCTTACTTTTGTTTTCTCTCTTATCCACTCGTTTCTCTTTTTATCCATTAGTCTTATGTGCAACATTTGTCTTTCCATTGCTCTCTGGGTTTTTATGATTTTGTCCATGTTTGCTTTTGTAAATGTCCACGTTTCGGAATCATAAGTAAGAACAGGGACTACGCATTGGTTGTATACTTTGGCCTTAAGATGTTGTGGATATATTTTGTTTTTAAAAATGTAGCTTAGTTTGCCAAATGCCGCCCATGCCAGTCAAACTTGTCTCTTTATCTCTACTGTTTGGTTCTCTTTGTTAAGTTTTATAGTTTGACCAAGATATATATATAATCCTGAACTTGTTCCATTTCATCTTGTTCGATTCTCATTGTGATGTCTTCATCTGTATTTGTTATGGTTTTGGTCTTGCTGTAATTCATATTAAGGCCTATCTTTCCAGCTTCTACGTCCAGTTCTTTCATCATTTCAAATAATTATTCTTTTCAATCAGTTATCAATACGATATCGTCAGCGTACCTTAGATGGTTCAAGCGTTGTCCACATATTTTTATATCTTTTTCTTCCCATTCTAAGCTTTTAAAAGTATCTTCAAGAGCCTGATTGAAAAGTTTCGGTGATATTGTATCACCCTGTCTCACTCCTCTATTTATTTGTATTGATTTTGTTCCTTCATATACTTGAATTGTTGTTTTGGCTTCCTGATATATATTGGCTATTAGTTCCGTATATCTGTGGTCAATTCTGCTGTTAATCAAAGAACTTTTCACTGCCCAATGTTCGACTCTGTCGAAAGCCTTTTCGAAATCTATAAACGCCATATATAGAGGAATGTGGTATTTATTTGCTCGTTCTATACGTATTTTCATACTTAATAAATGGTCACTTGTGCTGTATCCCTTTCTAAAACCAGCTTGTTCTTTCGACTGGTATCCATCGAATTTTGTCGTCAATCTATTGGTTAAAATTTTTGTTAGTAGTTTATACATTACATTGAGGAGTGTTATAGGACGGTAGTTTTTTATATCTGCTTTATCCCCTTTCTTGTGTAGGATAATAGTTACTGATTCCTTCCAGTTGTTTGGGATTATCTTTTCTTTTAATATCCTGTTAAAAAGGGAATGTAGAGTATTAATTACCACTTTTCCACCACATTTCAGCATCTCTGCAGTTATTCCATCTTTTCCAAGCGATTTGTTGTTTTTCATTTCTTTCAATGCCCTCTTTATTTCTGATTTGCTTATTTCTGGCTGTAGCCCTGAGTTGACATTTTTTATTTTAACCTTAGGTTGGTTTTTAATTTCTTCTGGTGGTTCCTTTTTTGTTTTATATAATTCTGAGTAGAAATGGTGGATTATATTTATGATGTCATCTTTAACGTTTGTTTCTACTCCATTTACATCTTTTATTTTGTTTATTTCAAACTTACCTAATTTCGGCCTTAAGCATTTCATATTTTTGTTGTTCTGTATTACTTCTTTTATTTTTATTTCTTGTTCTTTTCTCTTATTTTCTTTTATCATTCTGCTTATTGTTTTATTGATTTCTACATATTCTATAGATTTCCTTTTGCCTCCTTCGTTCAGCTTCCTTCTTTTATCCATAAGCTTCTTTGTTTCTGTTGATATATAGTTGTTCTTTTTTAGATCCTTTTTTGCTATTTCTTTTCCTGATGTAATCATTGTTGCTGTAAGTATGTTGTCTATTTCGTCTATATCTTTATCATCACTGTCTAATTTTTGGCTAAGTTGTTCTTTTAATAGGTCTTTGTATATCTCTTTATATTGCCCTAGTTTGTTTTTATCTACTAGATCCCAGTTTCTACTTATTTTTCTTTTCATCTTATAGTTACCGTCAATACTAATTTTTGCTCTGACCATCCTGTGATCGCTACCTGTTGTGAATCTGTTAAGAACTGTTACATCTTTAATGATATATCGTTCCGTGGATAGTATGAAGTCGATCTCATTTTTTGTGGATCCATTAGAGCTGATCCATGTCCACTTTCGTTGGGGCTTCTTTTTGTAAAAGAAGTTCATTGCGTATAGATGCTTTTCTTCTAGGTAGTTCATCAAAGTATCACCTGTATCATTTCTCTGACCATACTCGAAATCACCTATTTTAGTTTCTTCTTTGTTTAGTTTTCTACCCAGTTTGGCATTGAAATCTCCAATTACTAGTGTAAGACGATTTTTATGTTCTTCCATAGCCTTTGATATATCTTCATAAATTAGTTCGATATTTTCTTCATCATAAGCTGTCGTGGGGGCATATACCTAGATAATTTTAATTGATGTTCTTCTTATTTTAAGTATGACATAGGCGACACGATCTGATATACCTTTGATAATTTGGACATGCTTACTTATAGCTTTATTTTATTTAAATCCTACTCCAAATTGTCTATTTATTTCATTTCCTTTATAATATAGTAGATTACCGGATTTTAACTGTATTCGGTTTTCTTCTTTTCGTCGAGTTTCTGATGGCCTTTTCATGCATTTAAGTAATAAAAATTGTAACAGAGTATTAGTGAATCACTTGTTTTAATAACCAGAATAAACATTTATAATTTTGCATTTTACCTCTGGTATTTCTTAATTTGGTAGCAATTTTTCCCAATCGAAGAAAAAATATTTCAATCCATCTTATGTGTGTAAGATTAGAACAAGGATCTGCAAAATCTATTTTGATCTATTTTGAATTAAATATTGAAAAATAATATAAAGTAAACAAAAATATCAAAAATGGACAAAATTAAGCTACGCTCTGGATAAAAAAGCATTTCAACTAATTGTAAATAAAATTAGGAACCTACTGTCTTGATTAGTTGCACATGCTGTCGTTTCAGTCAATCCATATCCTTGAATGAGATCTACACACAAACAAGTTTTGACTAGTTCGTGTGTGTCAGCTGTCAACGGAGCTCCACCAGCTGCAATCAGTCGTAATTTACCTCCTAGTAGATTCTTTGTGGCTTTAAATACAATCCTGAAACATAATTTAGCTACTGAATGTACTGAAATAATTATTAAATTAAAGAAACGGTTTTTTCTGAGTTCGCCCCCACCCAATGTTGGTGGTTGGGTTAGAGGCGAACGAATTGATGGAAAATTCGAAAGATGAGCCAAATATTTCGAAAATTGATACCAGATAAATTAGCATAGACTAAAATAAACACCCTAGCAGTAGAAAGAAGCTATCCTATGCCCCATAAACAAAAAAGGAGACGTTGCAGAATGTAAAAAATTATCGATAAAAAACAATATAAAAATAAAGTTGAAAATAATGTGGACGAATATCAAACAGGCATTACAGCAAACACACTTTTTACTGCCTACACAATTTGTTTTACCTTATTCTCAAATTTTTTTAGAAACTTTTGATTACCTTAGTATAATCGGTTCGCTATATTTACGCGGGTTTCGGATTAACAAAATTATGCTAATGACTCATTGATAACCAGTTGCAGTAAACGACTTCCCAGAAAATTAGGTAAAAACTGCATTCATAGTCATATTTTAAAATACATTAAAATAACATTAGGGTAGGTATAAATTTGTTACAATATTTCAGTTGAATTGATTCTTTGCCTGTGTTGACATTGTATGTTTGGTGGAAATATTTAAAAATGCCTAGACGTGTGTTAGATGTAGATAGTCTAATTTGTAGTGTACATAAGTATTTTACGGATGAAAAAGAAAATGGCGGTCCTTTAAAATCGGTAATGTCTGTTCAACAACGCGTATGTGATGCTCTAGGAATTAGTGAAACCAAACTAAGAGGAGTATTACAAAATCGCAATAATGAACGGCCGAAAGAAGATCACCGAAAAACTCGCCTATCATTGAAAACGAAAGATATTCCAGATGGAAAAAAATTTGAAATTCGTGATACCATTTATCGAATGCGAGCCAACAAGGAACATGTGACCTTAAATACAATTCTCTCGGAATTAAAAGATAGAAAATTTGGCGAAATTGGCAGAACAAGTCTATGGCAAGTGATACATAATTTGGGTTTCAAATTTCAAAAGGAGGATAACAGAAAAGCCCTTTGTGAAAGAAGTTCTGTTGTGCATAAAAGAATTAACTTTCTAAGAAAATATTCTAAATTAAAAAAAGAAAGGGCAAATTTTATATATTTAGACGAAACATGATTAATTTCTAGGGGTGCAATCAAGAGAATATGGCAAGATGATAACGTAAAGTCTATCAATAATACTGATGAAGAAGGGAAGCGACACATAATTTTACATGCAGGAGGGAAATCGGGTTTTATAGAAGGTGCTGATTTAATATTTTCATCTAAATCAAAATCAAGTGACTATCACGATAATATGAACACAGAAATGTTTGTAAAATGGTTACATGAAAAACTTCTCCCAGGTTTAAGTGAGCCCAGCGTAATTATTTTAGACAATGCACCTTACCATTCTGAAGTATTAAACAAAAGTCCAACGCATTCTTGGACTGTTAATAAAATTAAAGAATGGTTGACAAAGGAACATATACCATTTACACAACATATTTTAAAATCAGAATTATTACGCTTGGCAAATATCCACGCAAAACCAAAAACCTTTGTTGTGGATCAGATTATTGAAAGTTACGGTCATCAAGTTTTACGTCTGCCACCGTATCATTGCCAGTTTAATCCCATCGAATATATATGGGGAATAGCAAAACAATATTATGACAACCATATTGGGCCTAACGGTTATAGCGACGACGCAGTTCGGGAATCTTGGCGAAAGGCAATTTCAATTGTAACTCCAGAAGTGTGGTGCAACTGTATATTCAAGTGCGAGAAACTAATAGAAGATTGGGGGACTCGTGAAAATAAAATAAACGAAATAAGTCCAATCATAATAACAATTAATGATGATGACAGTGATGATGATGACGATTATGAGATTTTTGATGATAATGACTGATTTTCATTTTTGTTGGAAAGTTAAATTAAAAAAAAAATTTGTTTAAAATCCTTTATAAAAGGTATATAAAAATGCCTCAAACGGGCTATCACAAACACATTGCAAAACGTATAGTAGATCCTTACACATGTATAGTTGGTTGCCTATCAATCTCACAAAATTTCATAAATTCCAGTTGACCTACATCAATTTTTAAAAACCAATTTTCAATGTTTCAAATATAGAGGAGAAGGTGGTAATATGGACCCACATTTTGATTTTTTATTGTAAAATTGATATTATTAATAAAAAACAGAGATTGTTAGCTTAGTTACGATATGGTGTTAGTTACCGAACACATTGTAATAGTTAAAGCGGTTTAAGACTTCATTTTACATTTTTTTTAAATAATTTTTTAAAAGTTGACACATTCATCAGAAAACGGGATGTGCAGTTAATATGGCCCCCATGGTGTTTGTAATATGGACCCCCTTATTAATTTAAGGAAATATTGGCAAATTCTGAAAATTATAACTGCATTGAACAAAAAACCTTTTTATTATACATAAGTAGATAGAGTGTATATAAGTAGATACAGCATAATATGTATGTATAGGTAGATATAGTCTAGTCTACAAAATTAAATTGTCCTACATGGTAATAATGGACGAACAACGACAGAAATCGCAGACCTACTCATCCTTCTCTGCCCCTGCACATTAATTATGTGCTTACAGTGAATATATGAGACACTGAACCCATAGTTCCCCCCGCACGCTGTTGGTGAACTTTTCATCACAAAAAATACATGATGCGTCATCTTGGTTTGGTTGAGGCTCTCCAACTGATAGATCAAAAGGTGATTCACCGGAGCAAGTGGAGAGCTGCATCCCGTCATCATCATCATCATCATCGTCGTCGTCACTGCTGTAAGCTGGACGTTTGTGTTTAGGGTTGTTCTTCTTTGATTTTCCAGCGTTGGCACGTGGGGTACAGTTAGACTTGGCTGCTTGTCCTTTAGGGCTAGCTTGAGGCCCAGAACAAGACGGTATAGGGTTATCAAACGTCACAGCGCTCGTTTGAGGTCCGGGACAAGATGGTATGGGGTTAACAAACGTCAAACTTCGAGTGACACTTGTTGAAGCACCTCTTCAAGTGCCTTTCCCATTGCCACGGCCATTGCCACGGCCACGACCACGACGACTTGCAGCAGCTTCTTTTTTTGCCAGAAAATCTTCTAGCTCTCTTTTATAAGGAGAACTAGTAATGACGTTTGCGATGCAGGGTTTTCGTCCACGGTTTTGATTTTTTCTTTTTTTCTGGAACGGGGTGAATGTCTTTAGGAGACACAGCGAAGGTTGTTGGTGGATGAGGATTGACTTCAACTGCAGGAGTGTCATGCAGTCGGTTATCAGTGTTCTCAGCCTGATTTTCGTTTGGTGCCTCCTCCTCCCCTGCAATGAATTCATGGTCTTGAAAAATATTTCTTTCCAGGGGGTAAATACCTGTGACCCAGAATCCATTTACAGCGTTTACTCCTGTGGTACATCGGAGGTACGCCTTTCCCAAAAAGGACGCAATATCGTAAGGCCCAACAGGTCTACTTTCATGAAGCATCCACTGTCGGATATTTTCACTGTAGTGAGTCTTTAAAGCTCCCATAAAAGTGCGGTCTAGTGGTTGCAATTTATGTGTTGTGTGGGATGGTAAGGACAATATCGTGATGTAATTTTTCCTTGCCAAATCGATCACATCAATGTTTCTTGTGTGCGAAAAGTGACCGTCAAGGATAAGTAGTATGGGCGAGGTCTCTGTTGGATTTGTTTTTTCAATAAAATGAGCTAACCAGTCTCTAAACAGATTTGATTGAACCCACCCAGACGGGTGAGCTCTTCCAATTGACCCAGGAGGAGCTCCTTTCATAAGGAGATCAGACATGTTTATCCTTGGGAAAATCAACATCGGAGGGACATAAGATCCTCCTGCACTCATTGAACATATGACTGTGACCAAAGATCCACGTTCTGCCGCAGTTAGAGAACATATTTGGCGTTTACCTTTACTGGCAATAACTTGTGGTATTTTTGTCTGAACTACACTCAGGCCCGTTTCATCCACATTCCAAATACGGTCACCTGGGTATTTGTGTTTTGAATATTCGGACTCCAGCAAGTCATAAAAGGCATTAACTCTTTCACGAGTAAAACCTTTTGCACGAGCATATGATGTTCCAGTTGGCTTTCGGATTGACAACTTGTCTTTGTGTCGTCTAAGGAAATGGTCCAACCAAGCCCTGCCAGCAATTTCGTTTCTAAAGTTGGTTTGAATCCCATTTCTAATTGCTAGTTGGTAAGCCATTCGACGAACATCCAAGCGAGTGAACCCGTAAAATTTTGCCTCCATATACTTCAGGTACTCCACTAGTTCATTTTCCAGTTCTTCAGGTATAGCTGGTTTCCTACCTAGCTTTTTTGTGTGAACTTCAGTGGCTTCAGATGTACTTGCCTCTTTAACATATCTTCTTAAAGTGGTCTTAGGCACATCAAAATGTTTAGAAGCCTTTTTGACACCCATTTTCTTTTCAGTGACAGCTGCTACTGCTTCTTTCATTTTGTCCTTGTCCCAAATTTGCCTTTTTCTGGCTGGTTTAGGTGTTAAGCTGATTCTAGGCATCTGAAAAATAAAAAAACCACAAATATTGAAACTGCTTGTAATATGGACCCCGGGGTCCATATTACCATTACCTAGGGGGCCATAATACACACATCTCCAAGTTTAAAACACGTGGTTACAAGATAAAATGTAAAAGACTTAGAACATTCTAGTCTGTGTTAAACTGTAGGTAATAACCTCTAATTCATATGCACGATACTTAGAACTAAGTTATTATTAGTTATGGTAAGTTAAAATCAAGAAATTTACATACCTTTCAAAGTTTTGAAGATTGACCAAAACACAAACTACTGCACAATTACTGAGTGACTGCACTTAATGGCTCACAGCGCTCCTACCGGCCAGTTGGTATACTAGTGAACTAGTTCCAGCGTTCTCCACTAGATTTCAGCACTTTGTTATTAAAATACGGAGGGGGGCCATAAAATATGCAGGGGCCATATTACCACCTTCTCCTCTACCTATCTGATTAATTTACAATACAGATTACAATTTTGATGGTTGATACTGTTACATTATTATAATTTTAACTTTTTCAATTTTAAATAAGGCTGACATCTGTCAATTTTAGACAACTACCGTAAGTTACACTGACTGCTCTGACACAACATCCGTCCTAACATGTCAACAATGTCATTTTGATCAGTTGCTATCAACAGGTCTTCGTAGACACTTCGTCTCAGGACCATTTTACTCATGTAGAGTCATACGCCGCCATGTTACCTATCCAACGGTAACTTAACCATCACAAATTATAAATACTAATAATGTAAAACAACTTCAAATTCAAAACATTTAAAGGGTTTTTACCCACGGTTCGTAGACTTACTACGGTTGCCTCTTCCGACTGGGGTGGGGATGCTTGAGTTACGTCACAGGAGTACACAAGAATACAAAACCCATTTATTCGCGATTGAAACTGAATGTAGAGGGCAGGTCGATTGCAGTGTCATGGCCGATATAAATGGTATAAACAAAAACAAACATAACATTCGAATATTTACCATTGCTTTTCCATGTTTAGTTTGGTTTAAGACGAGTTATTTGTATCATTTAATAATGGAAATTAACCTTAATGATATCTTTGAGTATTGTGGTGAAGCAAAGAGTCCATTGGTTGAAGGGGAAGCAGTTTTCAAGTGATGAATTCCTAAATTTTAACTTTAATGTTTCGAACTGGCTTGTGTATTGATGATGATGAATCTTATTTTGTGTATACCTGGGAACCCAGAATATAATATTCTGTGTAATGTTTGCCTTAACGTATATATGCATTATTATACCTTATGTTTTTAATATGTTAATTTTTATTTTATACTATTTTTTGACATATTATGTAAGTACTTTATTGTATATTAACATAAATAAATAACTTTAACTTGGCTTTATTGTAAAATAGTTCATTTGATTACATGAAATCAACCTTAACTTGAGATCACCTGTCAGAAAATATAGGACATGATTTGTCTTTAAAAAATTGCATAATAAATTATTTTTTCTTCAAGTTTTTCAGTTTAGGAAAGAGAAATAGGGACATATCTTTTATAAATCTTGAATTGCATTGAGGACCAAAACAATATCGATTGGATTTAAAATACTTTAACGTAGTCATAATGCTGAAATTTACTAAAAATAATTAATAATTCTATTCAAATCAACAGCTGTCTGGTTTGTTTATACCACTTTTATGCCCGGTATTGCGGTATTATAAAACATTTTACTTGCCAAGTAAAATTTAGTTTGAAAGTAAAATAATTTACTCTACAGATTTGCGTATTATAAACACATAGTAAATTAATTCTGGAAGTAAATCTGCAAACTAAACTATAAAGAATATAATATATTATGTTAGCAAGATAACGTAAAACGTTACCACATAACGTTTTTTTTTGACAAACGTTATCTGTGATACATCACATCAATTTTTAGAATTTAACGTAAATGCAGGTTAACGTGCACGTTATTTAACATTTATTTTATTTATAAAACATTTTTGTTTTGATACATCCATCCAATCACAGGGCTGAATGTTAAGATTCAAATTACGTCACAGGAGTACAATCCGGCTTAATGTTCATTGGTTAGGCGGAAGAGGCAACCGTAGTAAGTCTAGGAACCGTGGTTTTTACCCATATATTTTGGTGGCTACTAGCATGTACAACCGTAAGTATTAACCACATTTTGCTCTAACCTTTGTCAACATTTTCATTTAACGTTCATTTGAATTAAAGTGGTTATATACTTTCAGGTTTGCACTGATGATGGATTGTTTAATCCGAAAACGTTTTGCAATGTGTTTGTGATAGCCCGTTTGAGGCATTTTTATATACCTTTTATAAAGGATTTTAAACAAAATTTTTTTGTGATATATGGTATACAGCCAGCTACAGGAACTTAGTTTCCTCGTGGAATTTTTAAATTTTTTTATTTTTCATTAGAAATTCTCTCCATGGAACAAATTTACATAGACCATATTGTCTGTGTGAAATGTAATATAATAGTATATTACATAACGAGAGTTGTAAGAAGCTTGTTACATGCGAGTAAAAAAGTTGCGCATGAGAAGCGCAGCGGCGGGCGCAGTAGTTTTACAAGCATGTAATAAGCTTACAACTCAAGTTGTGTACTATACTTTTTCTACGATTATTTTCGTTTATAAAAATAAAAATTAAATTACCACTATATTTACACTGACAGATTAATAATTTTTAATCTGTCAAAATAACGTCTGTTAGTTCGTTTCCATGGTAACTCGACCAACTGACTTACGAGGCTTATGTGATATTACACATTTTTATAAAACTGAAGCGTAATTTTTTTTATTACATGCTAGTCATTACGTGTCAGTATCTGTTATGATGCATTTACTTACCATCCAAATAGTACAATAGGTAGTGTAGGTAATATACAATTTACTAGTAAGAGAGTAGAAAAAATTATTATTAGGTTTATATTAGCCTCATTAGACTCCACTAATGAAGTAATTCTCCTTATTATACTGTCAATTATATAAAAGATTTTCCATTATTCTTTAATTAAAAAAAGTTATGGATTATTTTTCATTTCATTTGACCAGTTGATATTTCCCCAAAGAGCAGGTAATTAAAACTGGGTACTTACAATAAAATTTTTAATCCGAAACCCGCGTAAATATAGCGGACCGACTTTATATACGTTCACAGAATTTGCTAGCGTGTTATTCGAAAGCACACTCAAACCACAGTTCTTATTTGAGAAAAATATTTGTCAGATAAATTTCGTTTAAATAAAGTTCCTTTTACTTTCCAGTAAGAATGTGCACGTATTTCGAAAAACGTTTCCTAATTTCGGAATATATTGCTTTCATTATCGCATAAACTCTAGGCTTAGACCTTGTGGTACCTATTCGGAGTTTGGGCGAGATGCGAAAATAATACTGACTCAGGGAGTAGCTAGGGTGAACAGCGTGTTGTCACTGTTGTCAGTAACTTAAAGGCGGTCTTACAGGGTGAATATTATATTTATTAAGTTCCCTACAAACAAATAGTTATTAAAGCCCTAGAGAAATTAATGAGTGCGTTCATTTGGGCTGAAGTAGCGATTATCTTTACGATAAAGTAAGATCCACACTAAAGGTTTAATATACCATCATGAGCCTCAATTTGTAGCCCATGCGGATGATTTTATTTAAATCACAAAAAGACCCGCTAAATTAAAAGAAATTTTTAATAGATTTTGAAACAAATCAGTGAGTATTGATTAAAAATAAATGAGGAAAAAATCTGTCATAAGATATATTATCAGGCATTTCCAGATCGAGTATAGACATATCTACTAAAAACTTTAAAACATACCTGTCAGTCAATGGTGTGCTAAATCCTCTGTTACTCCATTTTGTCTTATAGTTGTATCCAAACGTAAAAATTGCTTTTTTAACTACATTACTTTTGTTTACTTTGTCTTTAACTGCTTTCGATATTCTGTCCAATATTACCTATAACATATAAGGAAAAAATTAAAAACGAAAAAGTTTTGCGAATTTTTTTTTTTTGAATAAATCAAGTTGTCTGTATAAATAACTAGCGATTTTGGCCATCGCCATGCGATGGGGAATCCAATCAATTGCCATCTACAGTCACTTAATTTTTTTGACGTTCTCCTATTTTTTCTGACTTCCTCCAATTTTTTCTGCCCCCTCCAATTTTTTCTGACTTTCTCTAATTTTTTTTGACTCCCCCCAATTTTTCTTACTCCATTCAATTTTTTATGACTCCCTCCAATTTTTTCTGACTTTATCCAATTTGTTATTACTTCCTTCAATTTTTTATGACTCCAAATTTTTTATTACTTACTACAATTTTTTCTGAGTCACACCAATTTTTACCTGTCTCTCCCTAATGGGAGTAAATTCCTATCATTCTTCAATAATTTCTTAATTTAGAGTAAACCCATTCACGGGAGTAAGTTCGTTGTACTTTGGATATTTCATGTGTGAAATGCAGATCATATGCAAGAATGAAACAGACATTACAACTTACGTGATAACTTAATTTAGGAATAATTATTTAATTAATTTTGTATACAATTTTACAAAACGTTTTTAAAATCTATATTTTTAATAAAAACTGTATAGCTTCTTTGACCTTTAATCTAGGTTCAGAACTCTTTTCCTCGCGACATAGCCGCTTACATTTCGTTTCCAGAGCATGTTATTCTTCAATTTGCTTAGCTCTAACTTCCTTTCGTCGAGTTTCCTACCTTCCTTTCGTCGAGTTTCCTACCTTCCTTTCGTTCTTTATCTGTATTATATTTTGTAGGTCTCACCACATTCGCGGCCAAAATTTTTTGATCAACATACTTTCAAAAGAAGTAAAAATTAAATTTTAAAATAAACTTATTTCATGTAAACTAAGTAAATATAAAAAGACGTAAAATAAATCAATTTGTAAAATAAATTAGCAACTTCCAAGGTAATGGTAAGGAACTGGACGAAGATGATAATTTGTTTGGAGATGATAATTCGGATATTGATATAACCTATGAGCCTCTAAGCTCAGAATCGGACGACAATGATATGAGACGTATAAGTAAACCAGCGAAAACAAAGGTAAAAGAGAAAGCTATTATTACTCCTACGACTAGTGTGGCAATAACAAAAAAATCTTCTTAAGGACGATTTATTCCTAAGCAGTGATGCAGGCAGTTCCAATGAACATAATGAAGTTATTTCAAAAGAAGAGAAAAGTGTTTAAAGAAAGCTACAAAATGTAACTAAGTTCAAACAAAAAGGCAAAAAACGTGTAGTAAAACAAAATTGGGTCTGTAATGTTCACAAATCAAAAATAGCTGGTGGGAAAGAGTATCTCAGTAAAAAAGGCAAAAACATGCCTGCAAAAATGTTAAAGCTTCTTTGCATGTGTCGCATAAAATGCTCTAAAAGATTGGTCAAAAGATTCAACTCATACTGGACTGAGACAAACGTTTCAGATTTTAAAAAGCAATTTATCTTCTCATGTGTCGACATCCAACCTACTCTTCGATTAACAAAAAAAGACCTAAATTTTACCAAATCTAAAGATAATACACTACACTACCATTTTACAGTGAACAATCAGCGATTGAGGGTGTGCAAGGTTATTTTTTCAAACACACTTTGTATATCTAATTTGGTAGTAGTAAATATGTTGAAAAAAAATTGAGCCAGGAGGTTAAATAAAAGCTGATCAAAGAGGTAGACACACGCTAATCAATAAAACTCCTACCGAAACCATAAATAGTATACATCAACATATTAAATCATTCCCAAAGTGCGAGATTCATTATTCCAGAGAAAGGAGTAAGAGAGATTATCTTGGCACAGAACTTACGATAGAAAAGTTGTATCAACTTTTCTATCGTAAGGCATGTAGATCCAAAGCTCAGAGTAAAAAAGTAATTCGACGCAGATATTTTTAATAAAGATTTCCAAGTTTTCGTTTGAAAACTTGGAAACCCGAAATAGACACTTGCGATACATGCAGTACATTCACAGCTCAATTGAAAAATAATCTTAGTGCAGATGAACTAACCAGTGTACAGGCTAATCATGATACTCACCTAATTAAATTTAAAACTCGGTATAACTGACAACAATTGGACTTTTTAATGGCTAAAGAGTCAGTAAAACACAAAGTACTATCTGGTGATTTGTAAAAATGTTTGCTTTTACCACTAACAAACAATTGTATTAGTTTCTACAAAAGGAATCTTTTGTAGAAGCAGTGATTCTTCTGTACAATGTATGATGTGGAACAAATCGAAAGGGTTCCGAGGTGCAAATGAAATTGCCTCGTGAATTTTGAAATGGACTGACAATACAATTCCAGGTAGTCAAGTAAAGGACATCATTCTTTGGACCGATAACTGCTATGGACAAAATAAAAATATAAGTGTAATAATGTGCTATTTTTGGATACTGCGTACATACCCTCAAATAAACACGATCACTCAAAAGTTTTTACTGAAAGGGCACACACATATGGAAGCAGACAGTGTTTATGCTTTAATCGAGAGAAACAAAAAGAAACTCTCCAATTTGACCATTTTAACACCATGAAACTGGCAACAGCTAGTTAGGCAAACATCAGGTAAATACACAGTGCACAATATGGAACTTGCAGATTTTAAAAACTTCAATACGCTGTTCGATAGAAATTGTCACTTAATGATCCTTTTGTAAGTAGAAAAAAGAATGTTAATGAAGATCCTATTCTACTGTCAACATGTGTTGACTCCTACATTTCCAACAAGAACACATTGGGAAGCTCTTTTATAAGACCGATTTCAATAATCAAAATATGTATGAAGTGGACTTCATGAGGTATCGAAGACAGCAAGTAACGTTTCCAGCTCAATTAAATCAAGTCTCAGTAAACCCATTACCAATCAGAAAACAAAAGTTTAATGACTTCATTACCTTACTGCCTTTTTCCGTCAGTTTGTCATGCACTTTATCAAAATTTAATACATAGCGATGTAGCCACAAACGATTACCCACAAGAAGATGAAGATGATATGGAGCCTCTTTAACAATTTTGAAACTTGTCTATAATTTTACTTTATTTAACTTTTCTTAATTTAATTATTATAACATTATAATATTTACCTCTAATAAAATAATAGTATAGGCTGTTTAGTGTATTTGTATTGTTTATTTCGTAGAGACCTTAACATGCAATGTCACATTATTTCAAAAAGTTATTAGAGGTAAACAACACTATGTCCAACTACACATTTAAAAAAAAATTATAAAATGAACGGTAAACTTCAGGTACATAACACTTCATAGAAGGAAAAACGATTATACACACCACAATAATAATATATTAATCTTGGTTAAATATAAGAAACATTTGAGTATTTACTGATTAAAAATTTAAAAAATGTTAAAACTGCTCTCCTGAAAAAGTAAGAAAATGGACATAGTGTCCTTTACCTCCGAGGTACGGATATGGACTCGATATAAACACCAGCAAATCCAAGATAATGATCATCAGCAAGGAAAACATAACTGGAGCAAACTGTATGTGAACCAAATGAGAATTGAACGTGTCTCACAATACAATTACTTGGGAACTATAATCAATGAGTCGTGAGACAATACCCAATACCCAAGAGATTAAATGATGCATCGCAACGGACAGACACCTTAAGAAGAAGAAGAAATTACAGATTAGAATTTTTTATTAGTACCTTTTCTTTCGACGGTTTTTTTACACACAACATTTATATTTCAGTGTTAAAACAATAGCCTTCCATTTAAGATCATGTACCTTATGTTTGTACTTCTCTAGTCAAAAATCTTTACAAGATCTTTGGACACTTGGTTAACTCAATTTGTAACAGTTATTTTGAGATCTAGCCCTATATTTGGAAATGTTAGAGCTCTCAAGTCAAGAATTTGAGTACTGAATTTTGAGCAGTTAAAAAGGAAAAATACCAATACATGTAAATTTTCGTAATACGAATGTTTAGATAGACCAGTGTAGCTACAAAATTGTGCAAAATTAAGTGAATTTAATACGAGAAATCACTTAACTAATTATATGGAACTTCATTTAATGGGTTTGTTGTATTTGTTTCATCGGACTATTTGAAATATAACACTTACCGGTACGCTGGTCATAAACGTAGGCTGCAATATCGAAGCATCCCCCTTTGTTCCTCGTTTAATCTTACTCGAAGTATCTATCATAGTAAGCGCACTGGAATACCCTATTCTCAGTCCCATTAAAATACATCCACTCTCGACCAAAAGCTCAAAAACGTGAGCTAAGGGTAGATACCCCATTATCACTTCAGTTGGGTACATTCTGGTAGAATCGGTGAACGCTTTCACAGAAGCGATCATATTTTTGTGGGTCAGTTTTACACCCTTCGGTATCCCCGTCGATCCGCTTGTGTACATAATTATAGCGATATCGTCGGCAGTGGGTTTTACTTCAGCTGGAAAATAATAAAATGATATTAAATTTGATTTTTTTGTCGCGCAAAATACTTGGAATATTCTTTATTTAAAAAAATAGACACAATTTTTAAGTGGACGACATTGGAATTTTGTAGTTCTCAACACTGATTTACAATAGATAAACTGGATACCAGTATATCTAAATCTAATATCTTCTGTACCTTCTGTATCATATGTTCTGTACGCAATAAAGTTGAGGAACTGGAAGTATTTCTTAGCGAAGATGATTGGCCAGATCTTGTACTTTTAACTGAGCACTGGTTGTATCCTCTGGAAACACTTTGCATTAACAATTACTCCATAATATCTAAATTTTGCAGATCTGAATTCTGAAAGCGTCCATGGAGGCACATTAATTTTAATTAATACAACGTTTCAGTATAAATTCAATTTTGTTGACTACAATAAATTTAACCACCTCTGCATTGAATCTGAATTTGAATTCTCTATTACTTTCAGTAAGAAACTTAATACTTTTCTCATTGTTGTGTACAGACCACCTAAGTCTATTATTCAGTTATTTCTTCAAAGATTGGAATCCTTGCTTGAAAAACTTCCACAAAATGCTTTTATTATATTGACAGGTGACTTTAATATTGATTATCTGGATTCATCACACAGCCATGTTATTACCATTACAAATTTACTTAATAGTTTTAATATGAGCATGCTGGTTACCGATCCAACCAGAAATAACAGCATATTAGATTATATTTGTACTAATTTACATCCAGACCTAGCTGTGTGCAGAGTGATTCCCTATTTTTCATCAGATCATGATCCCATTTTATGTGAATATCTCCTTAAGAATCCACCTTATACGGCCAGATGGGGTAGGATTTTCAGCAAAAGTAATTTTGACAGGTTTATTATATTATATTAATAAATATAGGTCCATATATAGGAAAGTAACTAAATTAGCCAAATGTATATTTTTTAAATCTAGAATGGAAAATGCCAATAATAAACAAAAGGAATCTTGGCGTATAGTTAATAATCTTAGAGCTAAAGTTCCCCAAACTACAGATATAGTCTTAGACCCTAGTGATCTGAATAAATATTACTGCTCGGTAGGTCCAGAACTCGCCGGGAAAATTAATTTTTCTTCTGATCCAATGCATTTTTTAAATGGAGTAAACATTACAAATTCCTTTTACTTTCTTCCCACTAACTTGGCTGAAATAAAAAATATTATACAAGGACTTAAAAATCCCATGACTTCAGGCTGGGATGATATCCCATCTAAAGTTTTATTCCTTCTTCCTGATAATGTTCTGAGAATTTTATCGGAGGCAATTAACACATCTTTTTCAACGGGTCACCTTGGCGATTGTTTAAAAGGTTATTCCTATGTACAAAGGTGATGACCACGATTTACCTGCTAATTATCGTCCTATCTCTTTGTTGCCGTCGCTTTCAAAGGTTGTAGAAAAATTGGTAAAAATCCGAATGATGACGTTCTTACAAAAACACAATTTTCTTTCTTCCTTCCAATTCGGTTTCCAGTCATTAAAAAGTACATATGATGCCATCTTTGAATTCATGGAAAAACTATATTTGGACTTAAATAACGATTATGTTGCTGCCGCAGTTTTCTGTGATCTATCAACAAAATACTACTTAATAAACTGGAAAGATATGGTTTTAGAGGCACTGCTCTAAAGTGGTTCAGTTCATACTTGGAAGACAGATGCCAGTCTGTATCAATCAATGAGAGCTACTCTAGTAATATCTTTATTAATTGTGGAGTACCTCAAGGCTCTGTCTTGGGTCCTATCTTTTTCTTGATATATTTTAACGATATAACTAACCTCGACATTAATGGCCGATTTACTATATTTGCAGATGACACCACAATTTTATGGCAAAACCAATACTAATAGTACTGAACAAGACTATTAGTAGTGATATGCAAAAAATTTTAGAATGGTGCAAAGCTAATCATTTGACATTTAATTTTTCAAAAACTAAATTAATTTCTTTTAAGAATGATCTAAACAACATTACTCTGGGCAATGAAGGCATTTGTTCTGATACCGTAAACAAATTTTTAGGTCTCTATATTGATAATAAACTTAAATTTGAGCAACACACTGTATATTTAAGCAAAAAGATATCATCGGGTTGCTTTGCGGTCAAATCAGTTGCTCACCATTTAGATTTCAAGATTGCAAAAAGTGTTTATGTGGCCCTGATTGAATCTAATTTGAGATACGGTATTGCCTTTTGGGGTAGCTGTTCTCTTCATCATTTCAGTAGAAACTTTATGCTACAAAAGAGAGCACTCAGATATTTATGCAAGGTCAAGTTTGGTACATCATGCAGGCCTCTGTTCCGGAAACATGGTATCTTGACACTTCCTTGCATATATATCCTTGAATTAGCGTGCTTAATTTTTAAAAAACATAAAGAGGATATTCGGACAGTTTTCCCTTATAATACTCGTCTAAATTATGTTATTCCACTTCCAATTCCCTCTTCTACATTAACTAAAAAATCATTTATTTACACTGGTAAGAAAGTGTTTAATCACCTACCACTCGATATAAGATCCTCAAGCAATATTTTTGTATTCCGAAGAGCAATCAAGAAGTTTTTATTATCTAAATGTTACTACAGTATAGAGGAATTTTTTGAGGACAGTTGCGCTAATTGATATATATTTTTTAATTATGGATATTTTATAAATGTAATCTCCTTTTAAAAATAATAAACTTCTCTCTCTCTCTCTCTCTCTCTCTCTCTCTCTCTCTCAATGTTAGTAGTGATTCCGGTCTACATTCGTTACATTGCCAAAGAAATCCAATGCAAAAAATGATAAACCGAGTTTATCAAAAGTTGGATTCAGATATTAGTGATACACAGATGGGGATCAGAAAGGGTTCTTACACAAAGATGCTTAGACGTTAATCAGGAAGTACATGCATGTTTGATCAATTTCGAAAAAGCGTTTGACAGAGTGCGCCATGATAAGCTAAGAGACATTTTTGAAAGAAAGAATAATTGCGAATAATTCTCAATCTATATTGGAATCAGAAAGCTAACATCAAAATAGAAAGTGAGATATCACAAGCAATAGAAATACGTAGAAGAGTACGGCTGGGATGCATTTTGTCTGCCAGGAAACACTTTTGCAAGCAAACGAAGGAATCGTAATCAATGGAGAGGTTGTAAATAATATTCGATACGCAGATGACACTGTACTAGTTGCAAGAACAGTAGAAGAATTAGAACGATTACTTACAAATATAAATATTGTCTGCAACAATTATGGCATAAAAATCAATATAAAAAAAAACAAGTATATTGTCTTCAGTAAAAACATGACACAACCAGCACGTATTAGTATAAACGGCATTCAAACTGAAAAAATATCAAGTTGCAAATACTTGGAGACTTCAATAAACGAAACTGGAGACCAAAACAATGAAATAAAAAGACGTATCGAAATTGCCAGGGCCACCTTCATAAAGATGAGGAAATTCTTCTGCAAAGGGAGATATAAGCATCCCTCTACGATTAAGAATGCTAAGGGGCTGCGTATTTAACGCTATTATACGGTGTAGAGGTCTGGACTCTCAAACAGAACAACATAAAAAATATTAAAAGTTTTGAGATGTGGTGCTACCGTCGAATGCTGAAGATAAGTTGGGTTGAAAGGGTTAAAAGACCCAGAAATTTTGTCAACGATCAAACGAAGAAAACTCGAATATTTGGGTCACCTGATGAGAGGACATAAATTCGCATTACTTTAAAATATAATGCAAGAAAAATTAGAAGGAAAACGGAATCCAGGCCGTAGAAGAATGTCATGGTTGCGTAATTTGAGAGAGTGGTTTGGCTGTACCACTAATGAACTTTTTAGGTCAGCCGTAAACAAGGTCAGGATAGCTTTGATGATTTTCAATCTCCGATAGGAGTGGCAGAAGAAGAAGAAGAAGTGATTCCGGTTGTCAATTGTTGTCCGGTTGTCACTTATAATCTTATTTAATAATATAGCATATGTTTGGCTTTAATCTTTACTGTAGAATAAAATACTTAAATAATTAATTTTGAGCTCTTAATTTCCATAACTGGAAAATACATTCTAACAGGTTATGAACCCAGACTAATAGAAAAAATAGCTTCAAAACAATACTTACTGATATTTGAAGAAGCTCCCATCTGAGTAACTTCGTCAAAAGTTATTATTTGTACCCCACTCTTAAAACTATCCCTCTCCTCCTGACTCAGATTCTTTATCTGATCTTCCATATAAACGAGCTTCTTCACGTTCGGAGTCATCTGCAAAACGTGCTTAAACTTCGGCAATAAACTGAAACTCGTAATAACTATATCGACTTCGGTTTCGTTAATCGCATGAGCGATAGCATCATCCCCTAATGTAGCGTATATGGTGACTAGAGAGAAGTTTTGTTTGAAAGCGGCGTGGGCTGCAATCATCCATTTTGTTTGGGTCTCAGCTAGGATGGCGATGTTGTGCGTAGGTTCGGCCCCTAGTTTTCGTAAGCCTTTGCCAAATTCAGTAGCTAGATTGTTCACTTCCGTAAATGATAACCATTTGTAGTCACCAAGATCGTACTGCAATAAAAAAGAAATTTTAATCGTCTTAGTTTGTGATAGAGGTCTCTAACTTGATAATAAAAGTCAGTTATATAATATCTAGAAAGTCTTAAATATCCCCTCGAAATATATCGGATTGGTAAAAGCAAGGATGGACTCAATAACAACAATGGTTTATGTACAGAATAAATTTACTTAAAGCTTTGAAATCATTTAAGGTGATAGGCTGGCTCCAAGACTGTTCAATTTGACTCTTGAGTAGGTCATAAGACAGCCGATTGTCGGATGAGCCAATCTCCTAACAAACAAATCAGTACAACTTGCTGCCTATGCGAATGGTACTAACATTAGATTCCCTCGAACAAGGAGATGACAGAACCATATTCACAATTGAAAAGAGCGACCAATGACATTGGACTTAAAATAAACATAAGCATCATCATCATCACTGGCTCGACAACCCTTTTTGGGTCTTGGCCTGTTCAAGGATTCTTCTCCATTCTGACCTGTTTCGTGCTTTTTTTTTCCAGTTTTTAATTTTTAATGTTGTTATATCATTTTCTATTTGTTCTACGTATCTCAGCTTCGGTCTTCCTCTTGTTCTTTTTCCTACTGGCACTTGTTTGAATATTTTGTTTGGTATTTCGCCTTCTTCCATTCTTTCCACATGTCCAATCCAACGTAGCCTTCCTATTTTAATGAATGTTATGATATCCGGATCCTGGTATATGTTGTATAGTTCAAAGTTATACCTTCTCCGCCAAATCCCGTTTTCTTTTGTGCCCTTATATATGTGTCGCAAGATTTTTCTTTCAAAGGTGGCTAATAACGTTTCCTCCCTTTTAGAGAGTGTCCAGGTTTCTGAACCGTATGTGAGTACCGGTCTTATTAAGGTTTTGTATATTTGGCATTTTGTTTTTCTGGAGACGTTATCTGATCTTAGTTGCCTAATTAAGCCATGGTAACATTTATTGGCAATAAATATTCTCCTCTTCACTTCCTCTGCAACGTTGTTATCAGACGTAACTAGGGATCCTAAGTATGTAAAGTTTTTTACCGCCTCAATGTTGTATTCTCCTATTGTTAAATTTGGCAGCTGCCTTATTTGTGCGTTTTTATTTGCAGGCATATATTTTGTTTTTGTCTGATTGATTTTAAGACCACTATTTTTTGCAGCTCGTTCTATTTGAGTGAATGCCTCTATCATTTCTCTTCTTGATCTTGCGATTATGTCAACATCATCTGCAAATGCTAGTACTTGCACGCTTTTATTAATTATTGTTCCTCGGGTATTAACTGTTGTGTCTCTTATTATTTTTTCAAGTATGATGTTGAATAATATGCATGATAGAGCGTCTCCCTGGCGTAGTCCCTTCTTCACATCTATTGTTTCCGTTAATTCGTTTTGTATCCGGATTTTACTTTCTACTTTTAGTGTTTCTTTTATCAATTCTATTAGCTGTGTTGGTATATTAAATTCTTTCATTGCTTTTGTTAGGAATTCTCGGTTTATATTGTCATATGCGCTTTCGAAGTCTATGAAGAGATGATGTGTGTCGATGTTATATTCACTTGTTTTTTCAAGGATCTGTCGCAGAACAAATATCTGGTCTATTGTTGACTTCTGTCTACAGAAGCCACATTGGTATTTGCCAACTATTTTTTCAGCGTATGGTCTAAGTCTTTCATACATTACGTTGGACATTATTTTGTATGCCGCATTCAACAGCGTGATTCCACGGTAGTTTTCACATTCTAACTGGTTTCCTTTTTTATGTAGTGGTACAATAATGCCGCTATTCCACTCCTTTGGTAGCTGTTTATTCAACCATATCTTTCTTATCAGCTCATGTATGGCTTTAAGTAATGCGTCTCCTCCTTCTTTCAGTAGCTCCGATGATATTTGATCCGATCCCGGTGATTTATTGTTCTTTAATTTGTCCACTGCTGTTCTAATCTCTGCTATTGTTGGTGGACTCTTTTCTCTGTTGTCTGCTTGGTCTAATGGTATATCAGGGTTCATCTCCGTCCTATTCACCCCAAGCTTTTCCTTAAAATGTTCTGTCCATCTTCTAAGTATCTCTTGCTGTTCTGTCAATATATTACCCTCCTTATCTTTACACATCGTTGTTCTCGGTTTGAACTCTTTTCTGCTTTTGTTGAGTTTCTGGTAAAATTTTCTTGTCTCTGTTGGTTTACTTAGTTCTTGTAGTTCTTGAAGTTCTTTGTTGATATATTCTCTCTTCTTTCTTCGGTGAATTTTCTTTTCTTCTTTACGTAGTTGTTTATATTCTTCCTCTGCTTGTCGGGTTCTGTGCCTCTGTTGCATCTGTAGATATGCTCTGTTTTTTCTTTCTGTTATAGTTTGACATTCTTCGTCAAACCAGTGATTCGTTCTTGTTCTTCTTTCTTTACCTTCCATGCCCAACACCTCTTTAGCTGTTTCTTTTATGATTTCTCTGCACTCTTCCCACTCCTCATTTAGGTTTTCATGTTTTGGTCTGTTTTCTAGTTTGATGCTTATATTTTCTTTGTACTCTCCATTTTTGTTTGTTTCTTTGAGTCCTTCTATATTGTATCGTTCATGTTTAGAGCCTCTTTCCTTTTTGATGTTTGAAATTCTAGCCCTTATCCTACTTTCGACCAGGTAGTGATCAGAATCCGCATTTGCCCCTCTTCTGGTACGGACGTTTATTATATTCGATTGGTGTCTTGAGTCTACATAAGCATACACGAGACAAAATGCTAACACCACGATGGGTGAAGAGAAACAGAAATCAAATTGAAGTAGAGTACAATCTTGAAACAGTGAATAGCTTTACATACCAGTTAAATTAAATGGACATGGAACAGAAGAGGCAGAAATTAAAAAATAATAATAAAGAGTAACACATACTATTTTTTTATAAGTAAAGTCCGAATTTCAAAGCATAATGCTACTGGTCAATAATAAAAGCAGGAACATTTTCTTTTTCCTTTGGATTTTTTCTTTTCCTTTTTCCACTCCCAACGGAAATGGACGGAGGCATATATGACATCTATATTTAAGAAAGGAGATTGAAAACTATGCGAAAACTACAGAGAAATAAGCGTAATATCATCAATAGGAAGATTATATGGGAAGATACTGCGAGAAAAGATAGAGCAAGCGATACAAAGAAAAATCGGGGAGGATCAAGCAGGCTTCACGGCAGGAAGATCAGGCATAGACCAAATATACACACTGAAACAACTGTTGAGAAAAAAAAAGGAAAAAATAGAGATAAAAATTTCGTATTTGTGGACCTGAGAAAGGCGTATGACTCAGTACCAAGGTCAGAACTATGAGAGGCAAAGTAAAAATTAGTAATACAGACGGAACTCATAGAAGCTACAAAAGCTCTGTATAAAGAAAATAAAGTGTCTGTTAAAATGAGAACAAGAATCATTTAGGAGACTTTAAAAGGCTGCTGCGGGGTTGTTCCACAATCCCAACCCTATTCAATAAAATGTACTTAGAGAAAGCCTTGACTACATGGAAAAGAAAATGCGATGGCGTGACGGGGGAAGGAAACTAAGAGAAAAAATACTGGCACTATTGAAAAATATATGGAAAGAAGACAAAATGCCAGGGGACTGGGAGGTAGGGCAGATCATAACAGTACATAAAAAGGGAGACCAACAAATCTGTGAAAATTATAGAGGAATAACGTTACTAAATACAACATATAAAATATTGACATCAATAATAAAAAAGAGGTTATCAAAGATCACAAAGAAGACAGTAGGACAGTTCCAATGTGGATTTACAGAAGGAAGATCTACAATAGATGCAATACACACAATAAAACAAATAATGGAAAAAGCAAACGAGTATAAATTAGAATTGGAAATGTTATTCATATACTTCAAACAGGCATTTGATTCAATTAAAAGGAACGAATTAATGATAGCACTTAAAAAATTAAAAATTCCACATAAACTCAGAAAATTAATAGAAATGACAATGAGAACTACAAAAATAAACATAAAGACACAAAGAGGAGAGACAGAGGAATTCGGTATAAATAAAGGGATAAAACAAGGAGATGCCTTATCAACAACGCTATTTAATCTAGCATTAGAATATGTACTACGAAATATAAATACAGGAAATCTCAGAACAAGAGGTGGTCAAATAATTGCATATGCAGACGATATTGCTATTATTGCAAAGAACAGAAAAATAATGAAAGAAATGCTAGAAGAAATAAGAGAGAAAGGGAGGTAATGGGGCTAAGATTAAATCAAGAAAAGACAAAAATATTAAGATTAGGGAAAAAACCAATGAAAGAAAAAATCAAAATAGGAAGTTCTGAGTTTAAAGAAGTAGAATACTTCAAATACCTAGGAGTTACAATAAGTAAATCCTGAGAAAGGAAATCCGAAATAAAAGAAAAAATATTAGCAGCGAATAAAGCTTATTTTGCAAACAAAAGATTACTTAACAGCAAAACACTGACTAAAAAAAGTAAGATGAGCATTTATAACACCATAATTCGGCCAATATTATTATATGCAGGAGAAACAATGACGATGGTTAAAAAAGATGAAGAAGACTTAAGAATAGCAGAGAGAAAGATTATGAGAACCATATACTAGGACCAATCAGAACAGAGCAAAATCAATATAGAAGCAGAACAAATGCAGAAATTAAGGAAGAACTTAAGGAAGACATCGTAACTAAAATAAAGCAATGCAGAGTTAGATGGTTAGGTCACATTTGGCGAGCGTCACATTTGGCGATGAGGCAGTGACATAATCAGGCAGACTTCGATAAGATGGTCATTTATTGAGGCTGTATAAAGCCAGATTTCCGAGAAGAGCTCTAAATATCAAAAATTCAGAACGAACGACCAAAAGGAAGGTCACTTAAACTATGGGAAAGCGATTTGCTGAACGCCAGAATTTCAAAGCCAGCATAGAGACCTATACTAAAAGGAGAAATTACAGGTCACGGCTCAATTTAAAGGAATAAGTAGAAGCTTATAGTAGCAAATAACCAATATTTTTCATAATATACATAGTAGAAACATACCTTTTTAAAAATTCTGCCGTTAGGTTGTTTTTCGTCTTCTTCTCTCAAAATCTCTCTAGTTCCCAAGCAACGTTTATCGGTATGTTTTTGGCTAGCATGCTCCAACAGTTTTGCCATCGTATCAATGTTTTCATTGTCGATTTCATAGTGGGTAGGATAAGGCTTCTTTGTTGTCTTGTATGTGATGTATTTGTCACCTTTTTCTACAATTGTTGCCTAAAATACAAGATGTTCTATGACTTACATTATATTAACTTCAGTACAGCCTTCAGAATTTAATAGTAATAAAATGTGTGCTAATTTGAAGTAAAGAAGACTTACCCTTTCGATTTTGGCTAACTGTACTCTCTTGATAGGATTTTGGAATAGCAAATATATAGGAAATGTCAAAATATCATATATAAACACAATTATATACAGCACAGCATAAATAAAACTAAATAAATAATGGTTTTTATAGCTGAAACAAAAATTTAGATTAGATTCGCATTTTTATTATATAAAACAAAGAGTGTTGCAATTTACGTCCAATTTTTTAATAAGTAAATACAACAAGTAAATTCAAATGATGGATGTTAAAAGATCAAGAAGAATGTTTATTCAGAGCAAAATTAGTAGAAAAGAAAGATTTATACAGAGGTAAAGCAGTAAAAAAAGAAAACATGAGCTGGAACATTAGAGAAAGGAGGTCCTATTGAAGAAATATGGCTGGGATTATTATAGATACTGCAATTAAATTACTGAAAAGAAATTTGAGAATAAAGAGAACTGATGGTGGTCAAACGCAGCATTCGTCCTCGAAAAGAATGTCAAAAACGACGGAAAAAGTATTGACAGTTTATTAAATGAAGAATTTAAAAGAAAACCGGTGAGCTAACATGTTACCAAAAGTACAACTAAAAAGGCTTGAAGAATTTGACAGTGAGCTAACATGTCACCAAAAGTACAATTAAAAAAACTCCTGAACAATATAGATCTGGTTAGATAACTCAAGAAAAAGAATCGCTGAGTTAGTTAAGTGAAAAGTGGAGAGAAAAATGCAGTAGTGGTGCTCGTTTCAAGTAGAATTCAAGATTAAATAAATTAAACAAACAATTCCCTCAAAGACGTTAGAAAAACATACGTCAGTTATTATACATACCTTACATATTTAATAAAATGCTTTAAAAGAATTATATCATGTATAGAAATACTTGCAAATAGCAGAAATTAGCAAATATGTAGAGATTTACTAAATACCGAAAATAAAAATAAACATTGTTGAAAAAAAAAACTCAAATGAACATAGGTTAATTTAATCATCTCTTAAAATGTCTTAAGGTTTCTTAAAAATTAATCAATCAAAATATCTAAATTATGAGCTATAATCTCGTAAAAAAACATAAAATTTTTCATTTCTGCTTAAAAAATAAAATTATAAAATACAATAAAATACCGGAAGAATGGAGAACGAGCGAACTAATTCTATTCTATAGAGCAAGGTTGTCCAACTGGCGGCCCGCATCCGGCCCGCGGGGCTATTTGTTGTGACCCACGTAAGATTTTCGAAAAGCATATATTTTCTTTAAATGCTGCCACTGTGAAAAAAGATTTTTTAATTTATTTATATTTTATGGTTTAGCAGTGTTTTTACATCACAAGTACTGTACCGCGTGCCGCTCCGCGGACGTGTAACGAATACAATCGTCCTCCACCACTATGAGAACTGCACTGATTACTGCGCATCACAGTTCACGCAAGGCACACCTCCCACTGCTTACAATCCATCGCCAGTCACCATCGCGCCAGTGTGCTACTGACACGTAGGCTAGTCGGCTAATCTATTACGTTGCTAGTGAACAGTGAACTTGATTAATTCTTTGTCTTGATTCCTCTTATACAATAATGAGTGTAAAACCAGTAAAACGGAAAATTGATAGTGAGAACAGAATTTACAAAGAAAGTTGGTAGAGTGATTACTTGATTGCTAACAATAATGGAAAGTTGCAATGCTTAGTGTGCATGAATGTCGTTTCAGTGCCTAAAGAATATAATGTGAGAAGACATTACACAACAGTGCATGAAAATAGGTATGCTACGTACACAAATGAAAGTCGGCGTGCCCTAGTTGCAGATTTGAAGAAAAAGCTTAAACAGCAAACTGGTATGTTCAGTAAAATATTATACTCTCAAACGCATTCTTTGCATGCATCTTATGCCGTGTCGCTTGAGCTGGCAAAGGCAAAAAAACCTTTCACTGATGGCAATTTGATAAAAAAATGTGCTATTGAAATGGATAAAGCTTTCGGTGATTCTAAAATGGCGGAGAAATTTGAATCAGTGCCACTTTCACATCAAACCATACAAAGAAGGATTGTTGCTATGGGTGAGCAAGTAGAAAAATCTATGCTTAGCCTGGTTAAGAAAAGTTCATATTTCTCACTTTGTTTGAATGAAAGCACTGATCAAACCGATGTTAGTCAGCTGTTAATATTTGTGCGCACTACTTTTGATGATTTTACCAGTAAAGAGGAGTTATTTGATATTTGTCCTCTTTATGGAACAACAAAAGGAAAAGACATCTATGAGGCTGTGAAGAAAACAGTTGACAGAATTGGAGGCTTTGATAAATGTTCAGTCATAGCAACAGACGGGGCCCCATCAATGACAGGTAAAAAAATTGGATTAGTGGGTCTGCTTCGAGAGAATGGTGTCACTTGCCCAACAATTCATTGTATTATACATCAGGGAGCTTTATGTGGAAAATCAGTCAAGGAAGATCAAGTTTTCCAAACCGTGATTAAGATTATAAATATGATTAGAGGTGGAAATCGATCTCTTTTACACAGGCAACTTATGCAGTTTTTAGTGGAAACAGAGACTGAGTATGGAGACTGGCTAATGTACAACCATGTAAGGTGGCTGAGTGCAGGAAAGTGCATGGAACGATTTTTTGCCATAAGAAAGGAAATCCCTGCATTCCTCAACAAATACGTTTCATCTGACACAACTGAACTGGAAGAGAAGTTTAAGGATCCAGAATTCTTAAGACAGTTAGCTTTTATAAAAGACCTGACTAATCATCTTAACATGTTAAACTTGAGTCTTCAAGGAAGAAACCAGACGGTTTCAGATTTAATCAGAATGATAAACGAATTCCGAAATAAGCTGAACGTGTTTAAACGTGCTTTGGAAAAGAACAGCCTGACACACTTCCCTAGCTGTCTGCAAATAGCAGAAGAATTCAACGGTGAGGAAAATATTGAGTTTTCATCCTGCATTTCACAAATTGAACAAGTTCTTGAAACATGGTCTTAAAACTAAATTAAAAAACTAAAATAAAGATCGTGCAAGTTTATGCTCCAACTGAAAAAGCAACCGATGAGGAAATAAATTCTTTTTACGAAGACGTTAAAAAAGCTATAGACGACAACAAAGAATCCAAAATAATAATAATGGAAGACTTTAACGCCAAAATTGGAAGTAAGATTGAAGACTCTGAAAGCAAGATTGGAAACTTTGGATTCGACACAAGAAACACAAGAGGAGAAAAACTCCTGGAATTCCTGGAACAAGAAAACATGTATGTTATGAATACCTTCTACAAAAAGAAACCTAACAGAAAGTGGACATGGGTCGCACCTAACGGAACTACCAAAAATAAAATAGACTATTTTCTCTCAAACAACAAAGGAATATTTGAAGACGTCACAACAATAAACAACGTAACAACGGGTAGTGACCATCGTATAGTCAGAGCAAAAATAAATATTAACATGAAAGAAGAGAGAAAAAGGATTAAAAAAAACAACGAGGATAGATGCCTTTAAACTAAGAACAAATGAAGAGCAATTCCGAGAGGTCTTAGCGGATAAGTTCGAATCTGATCCTTCACATAATTAAGATCAAATTGACGAAATTAATAGAAACTTAAATAAAAACCTTCTCGCAGCAGGACTACAGGTCGCAAAGAAAACAAGGACTAAAGAAGACAAAATAAGCAATGAAACTAAACAGCTAATGACGGAAAGAAGACAACTACTAGCGCAAAATAAACGCCATACTCAAGAATATAGAGAACTTAATAAAACAATTAGAAAAGAACTAAAACGCGACATACAAAAATGGAACGAGAACTTAATAGAGCGAGTCATTGAAAACAACAGAGGCTTAAAATGTCTAAGACCCGCACTGGGAGTTCAAAAAATCATCAAAATTAAAGACGTCAACAATAAGGTAGAGAAGGACAAATATAAAATAACAAATATTGTCGAAGACTTCTACACATCCTTGTACAGCTCGCAAGGCCAACCTAATGAAAAACAAAGGAGAACGTCAAAAGAAAAATAAAAAATGTGGGATCAGAAGTACTACCAAATATAAAGGGATACAAAATAGAAAGAGCTTTAAAAGAACTAAAAAATAATAAAGCTCCAGGACACGACGGTATAATTGCCGAGCTCTTGAAAACAAGCAAGACATTAACAATCCCTGTACTAACAGAGCTATTTAATAGATGTCTCCATAATAGCCACATCCCTAAAGACTGGAGCGAGAGTCTAGTAATACTCTTACATAATCAAACAATCATTTTAGCGTCTCTTACTTTCCACGAGGAAACTAAGTTCCTGTAGCTGGCTGTATACCATATATCACAAAAAAATTTTGTTAAAATCCTTTATAAAAGGTATATAAAAATGCCTCAAACGGGCTATCACAAACACATTGCAAAACGTTTTCGGATTAAACAATCCATCATCAGTGCAAACGGTTGTACATGCTAGTAGCCACCAAAATATATGGGTAAAAACCCTTTAAATGTTATAAATTTGAATTTGTTTTACATTATTAGTATTTCTAATTCTTAACTTAACTTAACCATCACAAATTAGAAATACTAATAATGTAAAACAATTTCAAATTTATAACATTTAAAGGGTTTTTACCCATATATTTTGGTGGCTACTAGCATGTACAACCGTTTGCACTGATGATGGATTGTTTAATCCGAAAACGTTTTGCAATGTGTTTGTGATAGCCCGTTTGAGGCATTTTTATATACCTTTTATAAAGGATTTTAACAAAATTTTTTTGTCTCTTACTTTGTATATAACTAAGCGTAAAAAGAAACCTAAAATAAAACGTAGATTCTGATGCAAAGAATCCAAGATTTTGGTGCAAAATAAATCTCGTCTGCCCCTGCACCCGATTTACTGGACTGCAATGCTAATTTTAATTCTCTTTTATAGGATGTTCTAAAATTGTTAATTTTTTTTCTTACATACTCTTCATTCGCATCTTTGTTTACTTCTTGGAACTTTAAAACTAGAATGTCCATTGCCTGTTTTCGGGCGTTTCTATCGTGATACGTTTTACCTTTTATTCGCTATAAGCATTCTTGTTTTTTATATAATTCAAAAAACTCTCTTAAAAAATTCTCGCTAAATCAAGTCATGTCGATTTTCTATAATATGATCAAGG